TTTTGTACTAAGGCAGGCGCTATACTCTTCGAGGAGTATAGCATGGCGTCGCCAATCGACCGTCGCCAATCGCTACGATTGGCGACAGTCGATCGCCAATCGCTAAAGTTGGCGACTGCACATTAGGTAGCTAACGATTGCTCGCGTAAGTTTACATGTTCAATCAATACCTATCCAACGTGTAGTCGCCAATCGCCAGTATCGGCGACTGTGTCTTTCATAAGTATTGATCGTTAACAAGTTGCCGCATGTCCAATCGATACGCATCCAACGTGGAGTGACCAACAGTGGCGATTGGCGATCGCCAGTCGTAGTGATTGGCGATCGCTAGTTTTCGGCGACTACACGTTTGATATATATCGATTTGACGTGGTACCTTGTTTGCGATCAATATGTATGTAAAGTACAGTCGCCGGTATTAGCGCGATTGGCGATCGCCAATATCGGCGGCAAAAATTGCCGATTTTACACGCATTTGATGCGTATCGATCGTCGCCATGCTATACTCCTCGAGGAGTGTAGCGCCTGCCTTCACAAAATATTCTTATCGGTACCATGACTTGGTCAACGTCTGAGTTCCGAGTAATTACCATCCATTTGTCTGCGTTGCGTCTGACGATTAGGTCGATACTGAAGAGCTGGAATAATGTGAGCCGAAATGGTAATTTGCAAGGAAAGTACTATTGGTGAAAGTGGCCATACAAAATGAATTGCACGCTGCTAAGCGTGGTATCAAATACCACTTTCGACTGTTACAGCTGCATTTGCGGACCATTCTATTGAGGAGGGCTGTGGAGTCACAAACGAGCAGCCAACCTGTGGTAAGCGAGTGACACACTCACGCTGGACTATTAGACTGTTGGTGCAGCGCTCATATACTGAAAGGCATGCTCAAACTTGTAAGTTTTTCGAAACGCGCTTCTCTGACACAGATGCAATTTTGTGATCAGCATTTCCTGACCTGCAACATACATTTCAACTGGAACGGCCAACTACAACACGCACTTTCCTTGTTAGTATTCCTACTTTGTTTCAAAAGTTCCTGAGCATTCCATACCCCAACCTGCAGGCGACACATCAGCTAATTTTGCTGAATTATTATGTAGAGCAAGGGGTAGCACATGAGAGGCAAACAAGCTGGAGAAGAACAGCTTCAGCCAGTGGAAAATTGTTTCGCCAAGCATAATCGCTAAACCAGTACAATATCGGTTAGCTATATATTTCCAACACTGCGAATGTTCATTATATTCCAAAGGTAGACAAAAATTTATAGGTTGAACCTGCTTTTCGGGTTTTTCGGTATACGTTTATTGCTTTTTCTTTGCAAAGCAATAACAAACAAGAAAATGAATTCAATAATAGCTAAGCTCAAATGTTGCTGTTGAAGTAACAAAATGGATAATAATAGTCATAAAAATGATTTCGGAGGAGCTTTGGAGATGGAGATGCGATCTTCGCCACTAAAGGAAAAAACGGGTCTAAAATTGTAGATTGCTCTCGATAATCACGATTGAATTTGCGTAAAAAAAACTTACTAAGAGAAAGGGGTCTATTCCGTTACCAATGGGTGTCAATTATATATGCATAGCGAGCTACGGCTGGCATAGCTTTCTACTAATTCTCTCAGGTTGAAGAAATTTTCATTAGATTATAAAGCTAATAAGACAACTATTATTAACAAGACATTCTATCTTTTGCAACCCTGGAAAGTTATCGGCATTTCTCACCACTTCACTTCATTTCCATCGGATAAGTTTTCCGATCGTATTACACCAATATATTCTTGATCTTTTCCGTGCATACTGATCAGTAGATTCAGCTTCTGATCAGTACCTCACATTCCTCTTGACACAGAGCGGAAATCTCGAAATACAGGTTTTACTATTTTTGATTTCCTTGTGAAAGAATTATGGTTTCGCATTTAAACAAAGAGTCTATCTAAACCATCTGCCGTTATCTGCTAATCAGATGACGATGCACGAAATGTGACTGACGTTGACTGCACCAGTTTGTCGACGGCAGAACTCAGTGCGTGCATTGAAGAAAGACAAAGATCCTACTATCGATCGTCTTTTGAGCTCCCCTCTCAGAAAATTCACACTAAAGTCGCTGAGCATGTGAAGGCATTCCGGAGTCACCGAAAGATTACCGGGCATCTGAGAAAGCAAGGGGGCTCAAGGACAAAGTGTAAAAGATTTTGAACATCATTGACGTGGACTGTTGCCCAAGTGACGTATACCGTATCGGCAAGCTAAATGTCGAACGGCCGAGATTGGTTAAGCTTATATTGCCATCGACCTATTACTGGCAGAGAGCCTTAGCCAATGCCCGTTTTCTTCCGCTCGTCTAACTTCTCAAACTTCTCACATATTTTTATTCGCAGATGTATGAACACCAAAGAGAGGAAGGCCGAATACGAACACAGGCAGCAAACGAGAGAACGCAATGCTGGAAAAATTGAGAGAGAGTAGGCCGGCTACCGCGGGCAACTTAAGCATTTTCGGAACTTCTCAGCAGACATTAGGAAGATCACTGAACATGAATAATTTCTATCCTCGCTCAGGCGTTTCCTATTTGACGCCCGAAATATTACTAGTAAGATAACCACCTACACTTTCTTTTGGCTCATGATAAGCCTGATCTTGTCTTTTTGACCGTAACTTGGTTAAAATCGAAATTGACTGATTCTGAACTGATTGAAAACTTGCCGTACTCTGTATACCGCAATGATAGACAACCCGAAAAAGGCGTCTGTTGTTTTGTTGAGGGCAGCATCTTTGTAAAACATGTACACATGCTCTCTACATTGAAATGCGACTTACTTTCGCTCGATTTGCTCTTCATATCAAGATTAAGATCAAATCTCGTCAAGTTCATTGTTGTCTACCGTCCGCCGAAATCTACACAGGATGATAACAGACAATTGATAGATGTTTTGACTGGTTTGGTATCTATCAGAAGTGATACAGTTATAGTTGGCGATTTCAATCTGCATATTGATTGAAATACTCTCAGAACTCTCAATCTTGAATGCAAATCTTTTCTTGAAATTTTTCGAAATACAGGTCTGAGACAGAAAGTTCAGCAACCAACTCATGCAAATAATATTCTTGATCTGATTTTATCATCATCTAATGATGTCAATACCATTGAGATTTACCCACTTTTCGCATCCTTTGATCATAACATTATTGCACTTGCCTACAATTTTGAATCCATATCAGATTCAAATTACTCCCTCCCTGCTCCTGCGTGATAGCAATGCACTCTTCTTTAGCGTTCATTTTTGGATTTTTCGCGTATATCCAAAACGCCTCTAACGTCTTGCGTGCTAGGGTATCGGTTCAAACGACAAGACCTTGACTCCAATTTGAAACGCTACGCTATCGTGCCGTGTCATGCGGTGTGAGCCCAGGGGCGTGTTCGACTTGCATTTTTGTAGGCCGTCTAGATGTTCTACCCGGCAGCAAAGAGGGCGTCCTGTTTCACCAACGTAAATATCACCACATTATAGACATATATAAACCACACCTGTAATCATGCAATCACCCTCTTTGCTGAATGGGCAAACCATGTAATCTTGGGTCAAACAGGTGTGATCGTATATGCGATTTCGTATCAAGCGTTTCTTAAGATTGCTAGGCGGTATATCGACAATCCTAACAGCATTTGCTAGATTTGCTCCTTTCAAGCAACGACGTACTGCGCTACTGAGTTCGTCAGAAACTTAAGGCAGACAAAACGCTATTTTATCGTCGTCATCTTGGTCAGGCTTATGGTGGTCAAATCCGCGCGCTTTTATGAATTTCTCACTTGAGTAGCGGTTCATCTTCGCAATTTTATTCGCAACTAGCTGGCTTACCCGGCTCCGCCTGGCCCTGTCAAAAACGATAAAGGTTCCATTTCTATCCCTGTACACCTTTACCTGTGCCCACTTCTACATTCCCTATTCCCGCTGCGTGACTAATCAGTATGCTCAACTACCTTCCGCACAAAAAAAAACAATAAAATTGATAAAAGTAAGGATAATTCTAAAAACTGATGGCGTTATTCGGCTATCCGGGCCCCAAAATGTTTTTGTGACGATCTTGCTCAAACTCGGTATATGGGGGTTATTTGAGCCGCTGATGACAATATCATAGTCATCGCGTGGCAGCGGGTAAAAATCATAAACCTGCCTGAAACTTTGGCAGGGAATTACTTAAAGTGCTCATCAAAGAATATCGTGCTCAATCCCCGCGATAAAGGCAGTTCGTGTGTATAAAAGTTTCCCACGACCGTAATGCTTTCCTTATAGGACCACTGCCGCGCGCGATACATCTTTCGGCGGCTTTTGCCTAAGCAGAAATAGAGGAAGGGAGATTTGCCGCGTGCAATACACTCTTCGGCGGCTTTTGCCTAAGCAAAAATAGGGGGAGGGAGATTTGTCGCGTGCGATACACCCTTCGGCGGCTTCTAAGCAAATCAGGGGAGCGAGATTTGGCGCGTGCGCTACACGTTGGGACAGGTTATCAGGATGGCGCTGGAAACCCCCATGCAAAATGACCGTTTCCCCATTTCATAAATATCTGGGATCTAAATTGGCCCTGTCCATTCAAATCCTGCAACCAGGGTAAAGCGGGGGGTGCGGCACGCGACCGCCGGATACGACCCCCCCCCTTGGGCCGAACCTCGGCACGACCCCCCCCCCCCCCCCGCCATTCCCTACCCCCCCCCCCCCTCCCTCCACCCCACAAGCCTATTGAAATGTAAGACCGTAAATAGTGCTGTGTGTCGCTAGCTTCATGCGATCTCGGGTTTTTCTCAGAGTTTTCAAGTTGTTAAAGATCGATAAAATGGTGAAACTATTCTTGGTGTATTGTCATTGCTGTAGCATAAGCTTCATATAATTTTATTTTGAAGACACTTTATGAGAGGGTAGGAAGAAAGCAAGATTAAATAAAATGCCTGCATAAGATTGAGCAAATTTGGTACATAAAGCTGCAATCATCTCTGGAACGGCCTTGAATAGATCTGCCTTCAAACCAAAATCAGACACCTGGAAGAAATGCCAAACATTTAAAATGGCCAACAGAAATTATGCATCCTTTTCATGCTCTAAACGCGAACTAGATATATATAAAGAAGGTAGACGTTTACCTGGAAGATTGGCCCATCGGGATTCTTGTTAATCCTCAACCTCAAAAAAGATGACTTCAAAAAAGCTGTTGTTGAGTTGAATAAAAGAGAAATGAATTTAGTAACATGGAAAAATGGTTTTTTAGCTGACCGTAATAGCAGCGACTTGCTATTGATACATACCTTGCTGTCCTTCATTCCAACTAAATGCTGTATAGCACCAGAGATAGCAATAGCGTTATACAATTCCTGCAAATATATTTTCAATGTCCAAAATAAATTACTGAAATTGCTACGGACCGGTGCAATAATTTTTCCAGTCTGTCCAACTTGCATGTCATTATGCACATAACCAGAGTCTACAGCAGCTCGCGTACACTGAAAAAATTCATTGCAAAAAAGAGTATGGAACAAAACGAACTAACAAAGAAGTAAAATAAACAAGCAAAAAAATTGAATTGCCCTGAAAAAAAATGAGATGAAAGATGCCAACCTTGCTTGTACTGCATAGTATTCGGGCAATCTGTCGATGAGTATTTTTGCCAGTGGCCACGCACCGTCCTCGATGAGAGCACAAACCAGTCCAAGTTTTTGATTTGTTGAAAGCACGGCTTCCTAAATTGAAACATTAATCCCGGTAGAAAGCGAGTTCACCTAACAGGGCGAAAGCTTTCATCGAATGGGCCAAAACCGACCTCGTTGAGCTCAGCAGCAAGTTTAGCATCGTCGGCTTCTTGGATTGCAGCCACTGTGGCAAAAGAAACCCCAACAATGGACTGCCCAGTATCCATAGCATCAATATTCGAGTTGCGAGAAACTTCTAGAGGGATGTTTGACGCAAGGATTGTTTCTGCCTAGAAGGATGGTATTGAAAACTATGTACAAGTCACCAACTATACGCTCAAGTATACTGCATCAGTAATAAAAAAGGCAGGGATTTTGAAGATCTGAGCAAGCAAATCAAGGGATTTATAGAGGTCTGCGAAAATCTAGGGCAAAGCCAAAGACTCACCTTTCTAGCCCTTTCTCCAGCTTTTGCTGCACGTGCGCGATGTGTTTCTTTGATTCCCTCTGCTTTTGACAATTCACAGAATATCCATTGGCAATGAACATGAGCACTTTAAGCGAGCGACTTTAGACTTATAAAGCCCGTTATTTTCATCAGATCGATTATGTCCTCTTGAATCAAAGACGATGTAACAACATACAACGAAAAGGGTGTCTCTTTCCCTGCAGCCTGAAAAACTCGATTCAGAAAATCAACATTGTACATCATATCCAAATGTCTATCGGTTATCGGCTTCATATGACAAAAAAAATTTCGAGAAAATCAAAAGACTTACATGATAGAACGTGTACTTGAAACCAAGAAGGGTGCACAAATAATCCTTGTTGGCTTTGATTTCTTTCAGGAGAGCAATATAGAATTCCTTCTGAGAAGCGCAACACTCAAAGCACTCCAAAGCAATGTCTGTTACCCGATTCGGGTCAAGATTGAACTGACCTAAAAAGGGAAAGTAATGCAAAAACCTTTGACTTTCATGGGTATAACGAAGTAACCAGATCGCAAAAAGCAATCCACCGACAGTAGAGTTTTACTTGAATTACTTACCGATCAGACACAACACTCTCGTCATCATAGTCTTGGCTGGTATACCACCTCCGCCATCCATCAGCTCTGTTATCAGCTTCGCATATCCTTCACTTTCTTCGCGCAGTAAGTTGAACTTGGCTTGCTTGTAGCTGAATCAGAAAAAGCATTGTAGCAATGAAATATGGCAAGTTTGCAGTACTAGAGTGTAAGCATGTTAAGAAGATCAAATGTGTTCCAAAGTGGACCTTGACGTGTTTTCGAAACCAGCAATTGATAAAAACTATCTCAAGCATTATTTTAGGTAAATCGTTCCACGAAACAAACATACACTATTTCTTAGAAACGTCTGTAATCATGCTTAGTGTATAAACACAAACGTCAGGAAGCAAATACCACCATGATGCTTTAAAAAAATTTATAAAGCGGAAAAGAGAAAAAAAATGCATACGAAAATATAGGTTGTCCGCGCTGCGCGCGGAGAGCAACGCTGTTGCGCCCAGTGAAGATAGTTGAGCGCAGAGAAAAACAGGCGGCGAGAATGCACAGGGAAGGAGGAGTGGCGCGCAATACACACCTTGCGCACTCTCCGCGCCCTGCGCGGACGGCCTATAAACTCACTAGAGCCTAGTTTTCAACCGCACCAGCTGTTGCTTATTTGTTGGCAGAGACGCCTCTGCTACATCCAGTTCAATCTTCAGAATGTCAGCAGGAATGATCTAAACAGCAAACGTATTTTTAGAAGATACATGTTAACCTTATCTGCCACCAGACCAACGAATTCAGCAAATTTTGGTACAGCTTTATCTTTGACTTCGCTATTTTGTGCATCACCTTCGACGGATACGAGTACATCAAGAAGGAGAGACGGCAGAAGCGAAAAAGTTGTCTAAATTATGCAGGACATAAATTATTGAAAAATGTGAGGTGAAACACAAAAGGCAAAAATGATTTTCATTGGTACAGACACATTACCTTCAACTCTTCAAGCTTAGCGAAAGTATCTTGCGGTGAGATTTCGAGAGTGGTCACCTTCTCACATATGTCAAGAACAAGCAATTTTGTGCATCTCCACCGCTTTTTGATAGCGACATTCAACGCTAAGGCGCACACTGAAAAATAATTCAAATACAACACTAAACGACAGAATTTCCCAAACCATGTGTTGAATAGCAACGCACAAACATCGTGGGCCACGATGTTTGTGCGTTGCTACTGTGCCTCTGTGTGTTTTGACAATCTTTCTAGCGCTACCGTAACCCAATATTTTTTGGCCACACTTCCCAGCATATGGTTCGCAAAAACCATATGTATTTCCTTCTAAAGAAAAAGGTTCGAGGGAAAACAGCTACTACGGAGAGAGGAAGGATGAATCTAAAGGATGATATGAAAAAGGCAGCTGTTTGAACGATTTGAAGGTAAGTTAATGGCCTGCGGCACCCCCCCCCCCCTCAAAACCTGCGGCAGCCGCAGGTTTTGAGGGGGGGGGGGTGCCGCAGGCCATTAACTATATCAAAAAAGCATTTTTAGCGGACAATATTTATATGAATCAATAGCCTAAACCTCATAGATTCCATAGGGATGTTTTGAGCCTGATTCGTCTTCTTAGCTCTGAGTAATATTTGGTGAAAGCACAGCGATCAAAAGCTAAAAGCGATTTCGGTTGGCTTCTAATTCAATAGTTTGGAGGTCTTCTGAAGCGGGATTCCTGAGGTGGACAAAGAAGGAGTAGTGCTTTGTATTGAGTGCAAGAAGAGGTAGTTTACTCACCGTTAAGATGAAGTTAATCATGTTTTAAATTACTGCTTTATACAAGGTTGTTTACTGCTCGGAGACCTCAGAGTTCGCTGAAACTTGGCGCATAGGGGTTATTCGACACGCGGATTACGACAATTATGCTTGATTAGAGGTACGGTAGGTTACGGTAGGCATACGGTATCTGCAAATTTGTGTCGTTCAACTTGAATTTTGCAGGATTTCAACAGCGTGGCACATCTAAGAACTTAGCTGCAGTCATTTCCCCTTAGAAACCGCTTTTGACCTTGGGTCGATACGACCCCCCCCCCCTACCTACCCTCCCCCCCCCCCTTACGACCCCCTTGCGGCGTGCCGCACCCCCCGCTTTACCCTGCCTGCAACTCACCATAACTTCACTAATGCGTCATGACAGCGAGCAAGTTTCATGTTCATAAGCAGTATACTTGTGAACCGTTACAGGTAAGGTTTTGAGCAAATCTGGAACTTCGACCCATCTACACCCACCGTAACCCAAGAAAATGCACCATCCTGCGAAATCAACATGATATTTATGTTCAGCGCGCTAAATGACCACCTTAGATGAGGCAAATCTATGTTTTCGACTCCAAACTATACTTGGGGAAATTCGAAATTTTTTTCGAATATTCGAATATCGAATATATTCGAAAATTGAAAGTTTCGAATAATCGAATATCGAATAATATTCGAAAATCGAAATTCTCGAATATTCGACTATCGAAATTATTCGAAAATTGAAAATTTCGAATATTCGACTTTCGAATATTATTCGAAAATCGGAATTTTCGAATATTCGACTATCGAATATTATTCGAAAATGAAAACTTCGAATCGAATAATATTCGAATATCGAATATCATTCGTTATTCGAATTTCGAATATTATTCGGTTCTCGAATGTTATTCGATTTTCGAATTTCATTCGATTTTCAAATACTGACCGAATAATTTACATCATTGAGACTGCCTATGAAAGGCCAAAACGCTAAGAATAAATTGTTTCATGTTAAGTGTTAAGAATGGACACATTGTGGTGCATTTTACGATGGAAAAACGGTTTAGTCGTGACGTGATTGGACTTAGGAACCAAGCTACTCCTATGACGGTTGTGAAAAGATTTTTCGTATTTTAAAGAAGATATGTACCCTCATTGAGAGTCGCGATTGGATATACAGCGGTCCCAACAGTATGTAGATCTGTAGGCTGGCACCAACTTAGAGTATGGGGCGATTTATCAATCGCTTTTCACTATTGTAAAATTACCGTAAGACTGAAGTGGATTTCAAAACACCAAGAGCCATTTCCCCTAGAAAAAGAATTAAAAGGGCTGAAAGTCTTGCTTTAGGTTTCTAAAGACACTCACTTTAGGAAGAATTTGCACTCAACCGTAATGTTTTTTTCAAAACTTACGCCAGGTATCCTGTGTCCCCCAGAAAAGTTCCCACGTGAATCAGCTGCGTACGTGGTGCGACGCTGCCTTTCGCTCTTTTGGACACGTTTCTCCTGAGTTTTCAACGGAAGTGCCCGAGGTTAACACGTTCAAAATAGCGAAAGGCAGCGACATAACGTGGTACCTATGGAAATTTTGCTAAGGAACAAACGATACACCGTAACAAGTGTTTTGCGACGCCTTTCAAAAATGTGATTGCCATTTGAAAAGCTTGAAAACTCGTGCGTAGTAGAATCAGTATACGCAAAAACACTGCTGCGCAGATTTTAGACCTTTTTTTGGAGACAATTTTTTTGGATGTCTAATTTTGCAATTGTTCTATAAGCTGGAGTTTCCTACTGTGATAACACACAATAAGAAAAACATGGGTGATTCGCTTTCTGCTGTTTTTATAAGCTGAAGCTATCCCTACTGGATGTCACCCAGAAATTCGCGAAAGACTTTGAGAGGTATTAGCGATCAAACGGTGTGTAGATACTTTTAAGACACCCCGTATACGCTATGCATATCGAATTCTCGAATATTTGTTGCTTATTGAATTATCGAATAGTCAATTCTTATCGAATTTTCGAATATTCGGTGCTTGACGAATATTCTAATATTTGATGGACATCGAATGATCGAATGAATGACCTTCGAATATTCGACTATCGAGTAACATTCGAAATTTGAGATTTTCGAATATTCGACTTTCGAATAATATTCGAAAATGAAGATTTTCGAATATTCGACTATCGAATATATTCGAAAACTGAAAATTTCGAATATTCGACTTTCGAATTTTATTCGAAATCTCAGATTTTCGAATATTCGACTTTTCGAATCATTCGCATTCGAATGATTTATTCGAATGATCGAATAATCATTCGATTCGGTCCCAAGTATACTCCACACGTATATAACCACCCTAACTCTATGAAGAGGTCCCAATATGCAGAGAGAGTATGAAATTCGTAATCAGCATGTCGAATAAGTTCTCTGGACCGAACTCCAGCCGAACTTCCTACCGCACACCTATGTAACCACATGGGGAGACTTTCTGCGACGAAAGTGTGATATCTGTAATCAGCATGTAAGATAACCCTTATACACGAATCTAAGCAAGCTCTACGACAAAAAAATTTTGGGGCCCGGTTAGCCGAATAGCGCCAAACTAATATCGAACTCGTAATCAGCATGCTTGATTACCCCCCTGTGCAAACTCCCAGCCCCGTAGCTCAAACTTTGCAAAAAAAATAGATAAAATCGATAAAAGTAATCGATAGTCCTGAAAACTAATATTGTATTCGGAATCCCCATGCTCGATTACTCCCTGTGCCAAATCCCAGCCCCTTAGGTGAACTCAGCAAAAAAATCGATAAAAATCGATAAAATCGATGTCGATCGATGACGATAAGTAGCCTATGACACCCGCCGGGGCCCGAAGTGTATGTGTGCCAAGTTTGGTCCGGATCGGTTCAGAAATGGAATTTTCTATTCGGAACATACGTACAGACAGACATACAGACAGACATACAGACAGACAGACAGACAGACAGACATACAAACAGACATTCAGCTTTATATATAACATGTATTGCCACAAACGCTCAAAAGTAACATTTTCAGAGATTTTTTCAGTAGGAGGAAAGTGAGTCATATCGTTCTAAATTTGCTCTGCCCTAGTCATCGCTGTACAGCTTCCTTTCGCAATGTCACTCTCGCACTCACGCTTACCATATGGAGAGAAAAATCGAACTCGGCAAAAGCTCCCAAAAGCGAGATTTTCGAAAATTTTCTGAAAATTTGGCGGAAAAGTGAATCATATCGTGCCAAAATTTTGTTTTGCCCCAGTCATTGCTGTACAGCTTCATTTCGCAACGATATTTCGCACTCATGCTTACAATCTGGAGAGAAAAATCGAACTCACCCAGGGCAAAAGCTCCCAAAAGCGAGATTTTCGAAAATTTTCTGAAAATTTGGCGGAAAAGTGGATCATATCGTGCCAAAATTTTGTTTTGCCCCAGTCATTGCTGTAGAGCTTCATTTCGCAACGTTATCTCACACTCATGCTTACAATCTGGAGAGAAAAATCGAACTCACCCAGGGCAAAAGCTCCCAAAAGCGAGATTATCGAAAATTTTCTCAAAATTTGGCGGCAAAGTGGATCATACGTGCAAAAATATTGTTTTGCCCCAGTCATCGCTGTACAGCTTCCTTTCGCAATGTCACTCTCGTACTTACGCTTACAATGGAGGGAAAAATCGAATTCACCCAAAGCAAAAGCTCCCAAAAGAGAGATTTTCGAGGATTTTCTGAAAATTTGGCGTAAAAGTGGATCAATCGTGCTAAAATTTTGTTTTGCCCCAGTCATCGCTGTACAGCTTCCTTTCGCAATGTCACTCGCGCACTCACGCTTACCATCTGGAGAGAAAAATCGAATTCACCCAGAGCAAAAGCTCCCAAGAGCGAGATTTTCGAAGATTTTCTCAAAATTTGGCGGAAAAGTGGAAGCATAGTGGATACTGAGATTGGATGTGAGCGGATCAAATGGTAGGCTTCTACAACTAACTTTGCAACAATGACCAGCTCGCAATTCTAACACCCTTGGCACGCGCTTGCGTCTTTCAACACATCCATTGCAGCAGCAGAGCGTACCCTGCGTGTCGTGTCCTCTCGTTCGCGCTATCTGCGTCCTCTTGATCTCATGATCGCACCGTCGCGTCTCTACACAATAAGGCCCCGTTCGGCAACTCTATTCAAACACTCATTGAAGCGTACATGTGGACGGATCATCCTCGCCGTCTCGTTTTTTGGGATCAAGTTTATGTTATAGGAGAGGATAGCGATAGAATGCGAGCGTTCCTCATGACTAGATGACACTCGAGCAGCTGTTTTATACATTTCACTTATCACTGCTTTTTTCATCTTTTTTGGGTGAGCGGATAAGTTATGTATTAGTATGTTTTTGCTGCTAGGTCTA